ATCTCTTTCAAGGTCACTGAGATACCACGTTAGAGGGCATCACAGATAACGTAACGGCCGAGAACACTGGGGAAAAAAAAAAAAAAAAAAAAAACCACACAAACTTAAAAACTACGTTTTTCAGTAGTCTGATTTACCCTATAAGTTTATCCATAGCAGGATAGAAGCCATTTGGGACAGACTATTCAGAAAAGCTTGTTTCTGTTTCAGCTGCCTACACTACGCATTTACTACACGAATAGTCACAGTTCTCTCAATCTGGCAAGTGATATTAACAGTACAACATCTATATTAGTACAAACTGCACAAGATATCTTTCAGAATTTACTTCATGGCTGAAGCATAAAGATTAAAGATCTCAATTATCTAAATCATGAAACAGATTCAAAACATATAAGCACAGATTTTAAGAACTTTCCTATTACTGGACTACTCAATTAGCATGCTGACAGCTAAAAACACATGTCCCAGAATATAAGACACAAACTAAAAAAAGCCTCACAACCTAGCAGTATAAGAAGGCTGCTGCTACAACATCAACAAGCAGAAGTTAAATTGCAGTTACAGATGATGCCGTCTAATAATTAACATTTACCATCACCTTTCCACGTTCAGATACGTTACAAATAAAATATATAACCAGGCTTCACACCTAGTATCCCTATTACAGACAACCCACAATTTTTTAAATTATTATTTATAAAGGTGCAAAAAAACCCAAGTGAGTTCCTTAGATTCTCACCAGTGACAAATGGACACAGTGAGGAGGGTCCTTCTTACTTTTCTGTTAATGTCAAGCAGGCGCACATACATACAGAAGTTACTCTTAGTCAAACAGCAGCAAGCTAACCAACTTCCAAGTTATGGAGCTGTAAATCTAATTGTTTGTATTTACTATCATTCTTTTGACATTTGTATCTAGCTTTACTGGGGAACAAAAATAAAAGCTTCTCTTCCAAGGCAAGCAACTCGTGCATAATTAGAAAGAAAAAAAAAAAAAATCCCAATTAAGTGTTTTGTGTTTAAAAAAAAAAAAGTAATCCAAACTAATTACAGTGACAATATAGAAGTTTCAATTAAGTTTTCATTGGGAAGAGCTTCCCCAGTGTAAGGCAGAATTTCTAGTGCAAAGCAAACCAAAGCCCACAGAAGGGAAAAACAATAGATCAGGGAATTAAAGTTTAAGCCTATTCCCCAAACCTTTAACATTCTCATTAAGAAGTTAAATACCTCACAGAAGAAATGCTAAAAGAGATTTATCTGAGGACGGCCAGCAGTCCAGAGACTGGAACAGTCCTCAGCGATGTGGATATGCAACAAAGATAAGACTCACTGCCTGATCTCCCACTGTTCACAGTATTTTAATTGGAAGATGACACCAGAGTATCTCTCTATTTCGGTTTTTGTTTTTGCTTTAGGGAAATAAAACACAGGTCTTCAAAAAACCTCTAGTATCAAGTAAGTGCAGACTATGAACAAGTATTACAGGATGGGAAATTCTTTTCCTATCCGTTCTGTATGCTTCTCAACTGATATCCTTAAAATATTATAAGCTGCTGTAAGAATAGGAAAAAAAAAAAAAAATCAAGAATCAACGGATAAATGCAGATACACGCTGCAATACAAAAAGCTTGATAGTGCCCACTGAAATCTAACTGGGCTTTTTTTTTTTTTTTTTTTTTGACTAATACCTGATTTATGCAAATGATGATCTATGTTCTTAGATTCTTTAAAACCTGACATTGTGATGAGTACGGCATTCCCGGTTTCACATCTTCTGGCGAATTAGATCTTGAAGATGCACTAAGAATGCCTTACACTTGAACTTCACAATGGCAAACACTGAGGGCAATATCCTGCAGAGAGACACGAGGAAATATCCGAGACATCAGAAGCCCAGAAGCTACGTTACATCACATCCCGCTGTTACGGCATGCCAGGATACCAGGATACTTGTTATAAGGCGAAGTAGCATGACCCAAAATTCATCCATAGGTTAAAGGTCTGCAGACAAACGCTCAGGAAACCACACAGCTCATCACATTATTCCGCACAATGTCAGTGGCTTCCTTACCAACACTCGTCTCCTCAACACCGTCACAACATCTCTCCAGGCTCTTCCCGTCCCCGGAGCCCTTGCCCCAGGGCTCCCAAGGTGCTGGCTTCACCGCCGAGATTGAACTTTGAGGTTGTGGCATAAAATCGCTGCAGTTTTAGATGCAGTCGAAAGCATCAGTTCCAGAAACAACTCCTCACCCTACTGTGCATCTGTCAGACTCCTGCTATCTGTAGATTTTTCACAAAGCTGGAAACATCGTAAGAAAATGTGCTTTTCAGCTTCCATAGCATCCTGCACTATGCTGCTTCTGGGAATATTAAGTCAAAGTAACAGTGTGACTCTAGACACACTGGCTAAAACGATCCCTTCTTTATGAAAATGTTAAAATACACACAGAATACTCATAAATAATCCCACAGAATACCTATAAATAACCTCTCAGAGGCTGTCTCGTTCTGTTTCTGGTAAATTTCTCTAGCTCTTCCACAAAAGGGAAAAACAGGGAAAAAAAGACCGACCAAAAGAAGATTCATTCAACAGAGCTAGGACTATAGAGAGTTATCTATATAGAATTATAAATATATTTAAGGCCTCGTGTACTGTCCTTTCTGTCGTGAGAACACAAATGTTTTCTCATGGTCTATGGAATAAAAACTAAGCAGCAAACGCTACTCACTGGAGACAAACAGAAGGCGAGTAACTTTTAAAGTGCAGGTGAATCCATCTTGCATCAGCATCTTTGGGGGATCCGAGTTGTGGGTGGTTTCAAAGCATTTTATTTGCTCACAAACCGTGGTAGGTCAAATCACTCTAGCGCGTCTGTAAAACCTGCATGGACCTCACTGGAGTTTCTGAAGTATGTCACTAGGTAAATCCCTAGCTGACTTTGGGCATTCCCCCCATTTTGCCAAGTTGCAGAAATTCACCTATATCTGGGACCCAACTGCCCGAAAAGCTAAAAAAAAAAAAGCACTTTTACAGCCTCAGTTGTAGGCCCTAGAGATGCAGTAAAAGCAGGTGTTAATTATATCCAAGATACAAAGTTTGCATACACTGAACACAATCTCAACGAGGATTATCTTGTTTTACCCTGTTATCTCACACATAAAGCAACCACACAAACCCGAGTGTGAACACCTCACACCCCTGAGTGTGAAGCCTGGCTTTGTCCTTCTTTAGGGCCTCACTGTGGAAACCATCCGAATGTCAGACACCAGTACTCGTGGGAGTCCAAAACCCACCCCAGACGGTAAAACCTGACCTGGGGAGAACATACATTGGGGTTCTGCTGCTAAAAGAGGCTTAGCACCCGCTACCCCCCCATCACCTTTGATCAGGTATCAGTACTTCACAGGCTAAGATTAATTGGAGCCTTTAGTGAAGGTTTAGCAGGAAAAGTAATTGGGAAATACTGCTGGAGGATCAGTTTCGTAAATATATATATATATATATATATAAACATTCCGGTTTTTGCTAAAAACAATTGGTACATGGTACAAACCCAGTGTGCAGCAGTGGCACATATTTTCATTTCTGATGAACTGCCACACACTAAGAAAAAAAAAAAATATATGAATTGACTATTTACTGAATAGAAAACTTCCAACTGATTGCTTTTAAAACTAACAGGAACTACACACAACTATGTCTTCACACATCTACCTGTCCCTTGTCACAGTAGTAACCAAGCACCTTGAGAAGCAGCAGCAGCAGCTTCCTTAAAATATTTCAGTGGGACAAACTTTCCCAACAAATGCTTCTTTCTCCAGACAAAACAAACCAAAACGATAGCAGAGAATTGTCAACACTGATAATATTGCATAGTCTCTTACGTGTTGTCTCATGCATAACGTTAAAACACTTTGTATCATTAATTATAAAATTTAATTATTCCCACTATGAAACAAGAAGTACTAAGAAAATCCCACACCAGAGTAAATACACCTTTCTCATTATATGAAATGATGGATATGAATCTTCCTAAATAATTACAGACCAGAAGAGTTCAAGTTAACTATGACCAGTTACTTTATATATATTGATTTGTGAGCGCTAATTGGGGAAAAATAATGTTTTGCTTGTAGTTGCTTCTACTCTTTCTGAACTTGAGCATTCCTCAGTTGCAAGCAAGTAAGACCTAACAATTCACACTTAGGAACAAAATATTTTTGTGATTAGAAAAACACAGTGTCTGCATATTTGGCATATATGTTCACCACATTCTCCTCAATAAATTACACAAAACCACACAGACATAGTGAACACAACCTTTGGCTGAACTAGTTTTCGGAATATAAACCAACTAATTAATGCAAAGGAGGCTGCTGGAAAACTTGAACTCTTTTTTAACAACAGAGATGTAAGGAATGGAGGGAATGGACCACCGCTCTTGCTCGTCACGTTTTTGTTTGTTTGGATTTTTTGGGGGGTTGGTTGTTTTTTGTTTTTTTTTTTGGCAGTGGGGAGCATCATCGAGATACACTTGTTTGCTGAAACACCAGTGAGCCCGGTCCCGGGGCCAGTGAGCAGCCTGCTGCGAACTTTAACGGACGGCGAGTTGTACCTGGCGCTCAGGAGGCTCAGGTCCTACACCCGCACGGGAAACGGTCCAGAAAATCACTCCGTCGCTCTGCGAGGTGAGCGGGGGCTACAGCTCCGCTGCTCCCGCACGGTTTAGAAAGGGGTCGGGGGCACGGCAGCGGCCCCACGGTGCACGCTGGAGGAGACCAACCCCCCCCCCCCCCCCCCCCCGCGTACTATTTGGGTGATAAAATACGCCCGAGTGGACTTGCCCGGCTGAATCCCCGGCAGCCAGCGAGCCCCCGGCGCCTCGCCACGTCCCGCCCCCCCCCCCAGCTCCCACCGCCCACTTAATCCTCCACGTATTCCCAGGGCTGCCTGGCCCGGGGAGGGGGGGGGGCGACAGGTTGAGCGGGAGGGAGGCGAGCGGGAGCCCCGGGGGAGGCGGCCGCGGGGGCGGGGCGGGCCCCGGGAGGAGCCCCCACCCCCCGGCGGCGGGGCCCGGCCCGGCCGCTCCGCGCTCCCACGGGTGGTGCCGCGGGGCACGGTCCCGCCTCGAAACCTTTGAGCGCCCCCCCCCCCCGCCCCTTCTCCCCCGCCGTAATGCCCGCTGCAAACTTCCGCGTCCCCCCCCCCCCCACCCGCGGAGCCCGGAGGGGTCCCGGGGCCGCGGAACGGAGCGGAGCGGAGGCGGCCGGTCCAGCCCTGCCCTGCCCGCCGCCGCGCCCCTCTCCCACGCAAACCGGAGGCGCCGGGGAAGTGGGAAGTCCCAGAAAAGCAGGTCCCGGGTACAGGTGAGGCGGGGGGGGGGGGGGGGGGGGGTGGCAGGGCTCCGGCTCCGCTCGCCGCGGTTACCCCGGGAGGGAGCAGGTGAGCCCGGGGCTCCCCCCTCACGCACCCCGCCGTAAATAAAGCCGAGACAAAGTCACCATCTGGGGAGGGGGTGGGGAGCTCTATTAGACGTGGAAGTCACTTACCGGCTTTGCAAGGATCCTTATAATCTATCGCCTCGGCTTTATCCTCTTCAGTGAAATCGTAAGTGTAGTCATAATCAAGGCCAGAGCAGGAGGAAGGCTTCCCACAGACAGTCCACCCGGCCAGCCACAGTGCCAGCCTCCAGCAAAGCATTTTCATCCTCCCTCGGGCAAAGAGGCGGCGGGCAGGGTGCGGATGAATTAAGCGGCCGGTTCAGCTGTCCACGCCGGTTTGGGAAAGGAGGGATGGAGGAACCACAGGGTTTGGGTTTTTGTTGTTTTTTTTTGTTGTTGTTTGTTTTTTTTTTTTTTTTTTGGGGGGGGGTGGGTGGGTTTGGGGTGGGGTGGTTGATTTTTTTTTTTTTTTGTTTTGGTTTTTTTTTTCTCTTCCTCGTTCTCCACCTGAAGGCTTTTCCGAGAGACGGTGCTCCCTAGGCAGCCCCACTCAGACGGGTGCAACACAGAGTGGGGAGCATGAGCGGCGCTGCCCCTCCTGCCCCCAGCCCACCACCCCGCCGGGGAGAAGTCGCTGGGTGTGTGGGTGGGCGCGGGCGGGGGGGGGGGGGGGGTGGACTCAGGCCGGGAGATCCTGTCTGTCAGGGCGTCCCTTCGCCTCTGTCAAACCCCAGCCAAACTTCCCGCGGAGGAGGAGGAGGTGGAGGAGGAGGAGGAGGAGGAGGAGGAGGAGGCGGCGGCGGCCGCTGCCCGCGTCCCGCTCCGCGCCCGGCCCGCGCTCCGCTGCGCCGCCGACCCCGGTCCCGCTGCTGCTGCTGCCAGAAGATGGAACCGGGCTGCACATCAGCAAACTACCACGGGGAGAGGGGGAAAGAGAAAGGAAGAAGGAAAGAAAAGGGGGGGGGGGGGGGAAATGGGGAAGGGGGTGCACTGGAGCAAACCGCGGAGCCCTAGCGATGGGAGGCAGCAGCTATGCCGGAGGGAGCAAAGTGTCAGAGCTTCCCCCCCGCCGCACAAACACTCTAAGCTGTCTCTGGTCTTCCCCCCCCCCCCCCCCTCCTCCGTCCCCCTTTAACTTACGAAAACCTTACAGGCAACTAACACACAGTCGTCAGCATCCTGCTTACTTATTCATACAGTCAGGGTCAGGATCCGGGCTGCTTCTGATCTGCTCCCTTGATAGTCTTATGGAAACACACGCGCATTCACTATATGCCTCTATCTCCATATAGCTTTCTCTCGAGATAAGCAGTGCATGGCATTTAAACAACAACAACAAAAGAATCGAGATCAGATAAAACAATGCGCAGATCGACACCCACAGCCCAGCCAAAAAAAAAAAAAAAAAAAAAAAAAAAAAAAAAGGCAGCTCTAGAGAATGGGTGATGAGGAGGACGATGAGAAGAATTAACTGCAAATTAGGAGACGGGAAAATAAATCGGTGGCTGTGTATTTCTCCCTCTGCTGCGGCTGCTTTGCAGTGTTAGCCCCATGAGCTGACGGGTGGGGGTTAAGGAGCGAGGGGGAGGGGGAAAGAGAAAAGTTTAAGCGTCCATAGTTTGTTTAAAACAGAAGAAGGCAATATAAGAGGTCCATTGGTTTCCAGAAGTTCAGCCAAGCAGCTGGGAACCCGTTCCAAAATGAAAGTAAGAACAAACAAACAAATAGAAAAAAAAAAAAAATCAAGGCAAACGAAAAGTAAAATTGCAGCAGGCAGCAGCAGCGCTGAGATCCTGCAGTCGGGCTTTCCTGTTCTCACGTGGATCTCCAGGAAAGTGGTGGAGGTTTATTTTCCAAGCGAAGTTTCCGCGGGAGCCGCCGCCCCGCTCCGCGCCGCTCCGCGGTGTCCCGCTGCGCCCCGAGCCGCTGCCGGCTGCGCGGGGCCGGGTTTTGTTTTAAAGCCCGAGAAGGGATCAGCGCGCAAAGCCTCCTTTCAGCCGATCAACCTGGAGAGGGAGGGGGGAGGCGGGAGGAGGGGTGGAGATACGTGCTGCTGGAATAAAATAAGATCAAGCAGAAAAGAAAAAAATACATACGCTCATATATATATATATATATATATAGGTAGCTAAAGATCTCCCTCCCTCCCTCCCGCCCTGCCTGCCTCCTCCCCTCCCCCGAGACGGCAGCTCCGATCCTGCCGAAACGCCTGAAACTGTTTCAGACCAAGGTGAGACTTTTCCGTAGCAAACTCTCCTCCTCCTCCTTTTACGAGTTTCCATGGAAAAGGGCAGGGCGGGGGGGGGGGGGGGGGGGGGGGGGGGAGTGGGGGGGTGGAAAGCGACGGGGACAGGACGACACGAGGGGTGGGTAGCGGGGAGTTTCTTCTGCTCCCATTTCGCCGGGGTGTCATATTTAACAGGGACTTTTGAAAGGGCTGCCGCCAAGAACTGGCTGCGGCTTTGCTCCCACGCCCGAGCCCGCACCGGGCTCGCTCTCCCCGCGGGCACTTCCCGGCCGCCTTCCCCCCGTCGCACGGGTGGAAATCCGGAGATAGTCCCTTCCCCCGGCCGTGCCAGGAGCGCAGGCAGAGCCGGCGGCGCGGCGCGCCCCTCACCGCTGCCTCGGGGCTCAGCGCCCCTTCCCTCCGCGGGCGCGGAACGTCCGCGCTGCCCCAGGTGCCGCGGGGGGGGGGGGGGGGGGGGGGTAAGGGAAGGGGGGGCGCGGTGAAAGGCAGTTACGCAAACTCCGGGTAGGCAGAGTTTGCTGTCGCCGCTACCGGGGGTTAGGCACAGCTTGCTGTCGCCGCTATCGCGACTGAGCCGCTCCCCAAATCTCGGGGGGGCGGGGAAAGGCGAGACAAAAAGCGTAGTGCCTGCCCGGAGCCGCTCCGTCTGCCCCTGCCCTCCGGCAAATGAAGCGTTAGCGTTTCTATAGATAGGTACTCTCCGCAGTTCTTACCATTAAAACTGGAAAGGTCGGTTGAGACAGAGCTAAGAACGGCTTAATAACACAGCGTATTAAGGCGTCTAGCACCGAGCAACGTCAGTGCCTTTGAAGCATCCGTGTGTCGTGCTTCCTTACAGTTTTGCCATCCAGGTTGTGTCCACATTACTTTTCACTCGATCTTGTTGCTCCAAAGTTGAAAGCCAAGGAAGGAGGAGCTGCCACTGAAAGGCTGCAGCCTTCGGTAAGGAATAACTGTTCTCTGTCCCCAGCACTTAAGCCTGCCGTGTGTCACAAGGCCTGCAAAAAGCACCGCATCCTAGATCACAGAAAAGCCTGAGAAACTGGTGGCCTATTCCTTTCCCTCTCTTTCTCAATGCCATTTCTGTGACCAACCACCCCTGACACTTGGAATTGACTCCAAGGAAGCTATCAGAGAGCCCTCCCATCAATCCATCAGAGCAGCATCAGAGCCGATGACTACCTTCACTTGCATGGTGTCATGGTTTGGTGGGCTGTGTTTTGCCCAAGAAACCAGTTTGCTCCAATCTGAAATTTAGTTTCTGTTATTTTTTTATGTCCACAAAGGAGATAGCTGACCTTACGGTGTCGTTAATTACACGTTCATTTCACACACTGGACCCCCCTAACCTGGTTTCGTTATCTTGGTCTTGTTTCATACCTGCACACCTTTAAAAAGTTAATTTTCTCCCCTGCGCCTATGCACCTCCACCCCAAAAAGAAACAACCTCTATCTAACAAGCAGACGTTTGTCAACAGAGCTTCAGAAACTGGCTTTGCCAGTTGCTTTACAGCCCCAGAAGAGGGGTGTACAATGCGCCAGTCTCCCCAGTGAGGAGATTATTAAAGCCTCTCTCCAGCGGGAGATTAACTCTCTCCCAGCAAGGTAGGCACTGATGTCACCCCCCCAGCCTCCAGCCGGCAGTCTGCCCCCCGAGCTCGGCGCCACCAGCCCTGGCAGAGCAGCACTGGCCGCTTGCGGCCAGCCGGCCTTGCCGAGCCGCGGCTGAGACAGGAAGCAAACGGAGGAAGGCTAGATGGGAATCACGCAGAAATCCGGGCACGTTAAGTGCCGTAGCGAATAAACGTGTGGATAGGTCAGGGTAAAAGCTGTTTTCTGCTTGTAATCCAGAGCAGCTACTCATTAGAAATACTCTTCAAAACAAGTGCTGCAGCTCTGCAGAAACTATCCCGTGTTGCTTAGGTATTAATACTCCCATCAGTCACATTAGTAAAAACCTTTCCCCATATTAAGAGGTTTTTTCCCAGTAACTAAACTGGTTGATAATAAACTTTTTCCCTAAGTAACCTGTTCAAAATTCCATCTTAGGTTCTTTCATGGTGCAAAATTTTGAAACATTTTAAATACAAAATATTTTTTTCTTATCACACATTCATGTCTACCATTCCAAAAAACTCACAACTCTGATAATCCATCTGACAACACAGTCAATCAAAAATCCATCCTACAGCCGTTTCCAAAGAAACGAACACATAGCCAGGAAGACAGAATGCTTAAGCTGGAAGGAAACCAACCAAAGGAACACAACAACAGCAACAACAAAACTCCAAGCATTTTCCCTTTTCCTCTAAATTTCCTGGTTTGGGGGTATATTACAGGGACACAGATAATGGCAAATGCAGTTATGTTAAAAGTGGTGGCGGTACTTTTTTTTTTTTTTTTTTAATCCAGGAAGCTGGAGGCTTTTCTGCTCTTCCCACACACACACACACAAAAAAAAAAAAAAAAAAACAAAACAAAAACAAAAACAAAAAAAAAAAAAAAAAAACAAAAACAAACCACCACACCAACTTTAAAAAAAAAGGACAAGTATGTAAGAAAGTCAGACACAATCACAGAACCAAAAAAATACATCTGAAACATCGTTGCTCACACCTCCTCCTCATTCTTTGGCTATCTGTCTCCTGCTTAGGCCTCCATCTCATGTGGAGCTTTAGGTGGGTGGACACAATGGGCTTATTCACAAACATCAAGCTCAGCACATGCCTAAGGCTTTGAAAGCTGAAGACCATGGCTGGTCAGCTCCTTGGGACTGGGACTCGTGGGACTTTTCAGGATGCTAATGCAGTGAAGTTCCGGGGGAGCTGGTTACCTTCCTGCTTTTATCTCTCGATAAACCCATTCCTTCTCTCTGAGGTACTCAGAACACTTCTGAAACAGCTGAAACTATGTTTAAGTAGTTCCCAATTCCCCAAATTGTTACTCTGTAGGGGAATACTCAAGCTGGAAGTGCATTATGGCAAACAGTCGACAGTAGCAAACAGGCATGTACACAATCGTAAATGTATACTGAGTAAACTATATAAACTAAACTTCTGAAGTTAAAAATCAAGCACTCATGAACTCAACAGCAGCGAGCTCCTCTGTGAAACCTTACTTCTCCATTCTCTCCCACATCTACTCATATACTATGAAAGTTGTTCATTGCATGTTCACATACAATTTTTTCCTACAGATCTCGGTGCTTAATTAACAAGAAGCCCTTCAATGTTAGGTTTTCTGGTTTATTTTTGAAAACATGCCCCATGCTTTATTCATTACACACTTATTCAGATCCTATTCTGCATACAGAGTTACTGATTTCCTCATGGGCTTTTTATGCGGCTCGTTGCTACAGTATTCATGTGCTTCAAAAATATTAATTGCTTTAGTTTCGTAATACACCCCTCAGATTGCCCAGTTTGATATACTGTAGACCTGTCAGGACTTGGCACTGTGGAAAACCTTATTTCAAGGCCTGGTTCCCACTGGTTTCAGCTGCAGTAATTTTACTCACCCAGCATCCGGAACTACTCCTAATCAAACCCTGGAGTTTTCAGGCATCTGCAAATGAGAAGCAAATAATTAGCATGAAGTGTAATTTAAAAGCCTTGAACGAGCTTTATCAAGGAACTCTGTGGCAGAGGCAAGGGCCAAGACTCAAATTTCAAGCTGTTCAGCTCTCTGAAGACTTTAGACACCATTTCTCTTCCCATAATTCCTTTTCTTCAATATTTCCATCATTTTCTAGAATAAACATGACCAGACTCCTGTCAGCATCAGCCCCATCATTAATGACACCCACATAATTCATCTGCCACTTTGAACCTTCTGCTCTTCCACACAGTACCTGTTAGCATGGGTTGGTAGTCCCATGTTTGGCCCAGCATTTGAGAAGATGCGTCTCTGCTCACCACTGGATTTCACAGTTATTACTGGCAGAAGAGGGACAGCAAATCTTGGGATCCCTTCCAAGCTCCGGGAGAGGGTGTTTTTTAACAGCACACTCCCATCTGCTTGCCTCATCTTAGCTTGTTATTTCTAACCTGTCTTCATTCTCCCTTTAGTCTTGGCTGTTCATCCCAGTTGTGTTTTTCTTATCTGGTTAACGCTAGTGTTTGACTCTCATCCCAGTTCCAGCTGTCCTAGTTTCATGTTTCTTGAATCTTATTCTGGGATTCCTCACTCTCAGATTCATCAACTGTGCAAAGTTGGTTTTGTGCTGTTTTGTTTTCACTCCCATTATCTAGCTGATCCTTTTCTTATGCCTTCTCACCTGATTTAACTTCTAGTTATGTTGACATTCACCTTCCTTGTCTGCTCTTTACTCCAGGTATGCATCACAAAGTTGGTCTTGCTCCTTGACCTTGCTTCTTAGTTACAGAGCTATCCTAGTTCCAGCTCTTACCTTGCTGTTCTGGCAGGTTTGCTTGTCTGCAACCCTCCATCTACCTCTTTCCTTTCATTCTCACTTCTCCGGCCTGGTTTCCTTATGCAAACGATTT